TAATAGACAACAACAGCAGGGGCCTGCTGGACTCACTGAAACTGGCCGTTTACACTGACATTAGCCTGTTAGCTGAAGCAATACATTAGTCAGCTACTGACTGTAGTCTGTAACTGGTTATTATCGATTTAATCCACTACCCTTGTTCTCATTTTATCAAAAATACATTAAAATGCCATGCTGGTTATTATCTAATGTTCATGACACTGACAAATACCAAACTTGGTCATTCAAAGTCAAGACACATAACGCATAGCTAGCCACAGAGGCAATGTAAACAAACGGGTCGGACGCTAAACAGACCTGCTAACGCTCATCGCTAGCAGCTAACAAAGGACCCGCAAGGCACGTAGCTAGCTAATGATCGACAGCCAGGTAAGCATAAAACCGATGACAAGCCTGTTGGATGACCGAACAACCAAGTTAGCGTTAATCCTGTCGCAATAACACAGAGAAACCCCGGGAGTGTTATGTCGAGTCTATGTTAAACACAATAAACCCTTCAACAGTTACCCGAAGTCATCGTCCATAGATTTGAAGAAGAATTTGTAATTTGGTTTCTTGAGGACATTTTTGAAGTCTGCCAGAGTGACTCTGTCCGCAGGCACAGACAGTTTCACCAGATATGGTGTCTCCTGGTCGTCGAGGTGGTAGATAATTTTGGTCTCCCCCATCTCGGACTGCGGCTAAGGCAAGGCAGGCAGGGTGCATCAAGCCGAGGGCCTGACAGGCTCCCTCTCGGGCCCCGACTCCAGGTGGCTGTGGCGGCGGCTGTGCCGTGGTCCTCCCGGCTCTCCTTGGATAGCCGACTGACTCGCCGCGTAGCCCGGGTTCTCTCTTTTCGGCACGGCGCGCTAATGTTATGCCTGGTTTTCTTTTTAAAAGGCACCCTGCTCCTCCACAGAGCGTCCTAACACCGTGCGAAGACCAGATCGCGTTGGTTCCCGTTTGTATGAAGCTTCCAATACGCCACTGAAAGTTTAGAAATAACTAAAACTAGCTGAAAATGCAGGAAATATAACCAACCTCAAAGGGTCGGTTTTCTCTTCTCGCTAGCTGCCAAGCTCTGTACTTTTTTGCTCACGAAAGTGCACAAAACCGTCCAAGCCTGTCTCCGAGGGGCGCCATCCACAGGAAAGGAGGAGAGTGACCGCTTTGCCAGGACAATATTCCAATATTCCAGCTGCAGTGCATAGAATCAACAGGGGCGGTCATACAGGCGCTAGGTCCCCGCAGAGAGGCCAGCCCCACCGGCGATGGAAGATTAAATTATGGTGTAAGTTCATCAGATAACAACAAAAACATATTTATAACTAAACTAGAAACTTTAGAATGATGGTAATGATTCAGTGTCTTTGAAACTTGCATTGACTTCATATCCATTTTCATTAGTATATTTATTTTCTTATCATGACTCCATCCAACCTCAGCAGATCTACAAGACAATGAGTTGGTGTCTGCTCAGTTTTAAAAAGCTGACTTATTAAACATGTTTCGCATCTACAGGTCATATCTGCATAATCATACTGTGGCATATATTGTGATATTTGCGCAATAGGGATTACACATGCTGATCAATTAATTGTTGACTCCTAATGTAAGCAGTCCTGGACATTTACAGACATGAGCAGGTCTACACTATACTATGGCTTCAAAAAGAATTCACACCCCTTCACCTTTCACACACTTGGTTGTATTGTAATTCAAAATCAATAAAATAGCCTTTTGTCTATCAGTATACCCTTAACCAATAATGATGGAGGAAAACATGTTTTCTTTTCATTTTTGAAAATTTATTACAGTAAAATTTTGAATCTCATTTACAAAAGTAAATGTCAAAGGGGTAGTAGTTAGTTTATCCCATTCGTCCTGGCAGACCCTCTCAAGATCTCAGATTGAATGGAAGCATCTGAATTGACATCTTTCCACAGATGTTTTATAGGAGTTAAGTCTGGGCTTGGCAGTGCCACTCAAGGACATTCAGACTTGTCATGAAGCCACTCCAGTGTCGTCTTGGCCATTTATCCTAGATCACTGCTACACTGAAAGGTGAATCACTGCCCAGTCTCAGGTCACTGGCCTAGAGTTCCTTGGACTTCACAGCTTGTTTTTTGTCCTGACATATGAACTTATGAAACCTTATCAACACAGGTGTGCCTTTCTAAATAATGTCCAGTAAGTTTATTTTGGCAGAGGTGGACTCATCTCAAGCATAACTGAAGCAAACAGGGTGCACCAGACCACAAGATGAAGTGCCACAGCAGTCTGAATACTTTTGTAAATGAGATATTTCACTTCGGTACTTTCTGAAGTTACTGTGTGTGCTGAACATAATTCAGTTGTGAACACGACACTATAAATAACATGTTAATATGTTGTTAACTGGAAGATCATTGCCCCATCTTCATTAAAGAGCCTCTCTTATAGGGTAACATTCAACAAGTTGACATGTCATTGCAGAAAAAGCACAGGGACAACATATTACCATGACCACAGTGAGACACACTAACAGTGGCATGCTTAAACAGAATGCAGCCATCTTTAACTTTATTAATTACTGTTATTTTGTAATGTACAATGGTTAACTGTACAACTGTAAGTAACTGTTGCCCATCACATTCAGGATTTAATATGGCAACAACTGAATTGGACATTTGTATCTGGGATTTCAATTGTTTTTAATACATTAATGCAGCCATGCCATACTTTCAAGCCCAGGGAAATCTGCATTCACTACACAGTAGTGTCCTTTTTTCTACAAGTAATCTGTAGTATAAAGCTGTCATACTTGTCAATAGCTGACAAGTATTTTCCTGCATGGGTTTTGGCACTTGACGTTGTATTTTTAACCCTGTAGTCCCAGTTCATTGTTTATAATTTATTACTGTGGCTGTTACATCACTCCATTTTTTGCTTGTAATTTTTTGTATAACCCCCTCATTCTTAGATGTTAACATTATCAAGTGATGCTCTACAGTGCTTTTTAAAGTTCTGGAGATGATTGTAAACCCTGGATATGAAACTGTTGGATCACTGTGATGTAGCATTTTTATGGAACACGCTTAAATCAAGTGTGAATATGTACAGCAACCACAGTTTATTGGACTGAATGAACTTTGATTTCCCATTACAGACAACAGAAAGCAAAGACAAAATATAACATTGCTCAATGGGCAGTTAATGAAAGTTTCTCAATGAATCAATAAATGGTGTATAAAATGGAGAGTCAGAAATAGACATGATCTGTTTACTTTTCAGACCAAAACATGACTGATATAATTATCTACTGCAGCAGGTGGACATGACAATATAATATTTTTACGTACAAATACAAAAAAAAAAAAGGAGTAAAGGGGGTTTGGTCTCTTTCTCTTTTTTTAAATAGGTTCCGAAGAGTGTAGGGGGACCAGGGTGGTAGCAGGTCTCAATCATCTGAGAAGTCATCGTCAAGGTTAACGTCTGTGGTGTCGATGTCATCAAGCTCCATGTTGTCCAGGTCCACGTCCAGCTCATCCAGAGACTACATATAGACGCACACAAAGGAGAATTATGATTCTTTTAAAATGCCCCAACTACTTGATTTTATGTCAACCATTTGGAGGAACAGCATATTTGCTAAATAAACACAACTTAAAAGTACAGCAGCTACTAATTCAGTTACTTCAATATTAATAATAAAAAACTGTCATAAAAATGTGAGGTCATTTAATCAATAATTCAAAAGAAACATTATCTACATCCAAATAACAGAATCAAGCAAAAAAGGAGAGACAAATTTACAGAGAATATTTTTTTAAAGAGTCGGAGAGCTCTAAATTAAATTTAAAAAAAAGGTGGCGTGTTGCAACACACACACACACACACACACACTATAATCAACAGATAAAGAAACAGAAGACAGTCTGACCTTATCTTTCTGTGACTGTGAGACTGCAGGGATTTCCTCCTCCTCTTCCTCCTCCTCCTCTTCTTCTGCTTCTTCTTTGTCCACTGCTGTAGGAACAGTAGGTTCAGGCTGTCTATGCATCACCGCTGCGGCTACAGTGACAGAAGCCGCTGTCACAGAGGTAGACTCCTCACTATCCTCTGTTTGCTGGAAAAGGTGAGACAAATCATAACAGTTTGACTGAGCAGTTGTCCTCTAGCTTTTCCTGAACCTTTTGTAAAATCCTTTTGTTTTTTTTAATAGACTACAGAAGGTGCATGACAACCCAGGTGCAACTAGAAGCAAATGGTATTTAATCAAGTCAATGTTAACATTGTTAAGATGTTAGATACTCTAGACTGACCTTTGGACCTGGAGGAATAAAGGTTCCTTTGGGTTCATATCCTTGAGCCTCCTCAAGAATGTTCCTGTCTTCATTGAGCTGAAAAATGATGGAGGTTGTTCAGACACAGGAGAGAGGACTAAGAAAAACCTACACAAATATTGTCTGCACACAACACAACCACCTTATGGGTCAAGTCCCGAGTCATAAAACTCACAGTGACAAGAGGATAGTCTTTGGCAGGCCTGGAGGTGCCCAAGCAGGTCTCTCTCAGGTAATGCTCAGCTGCAAAGGCTTCTCTCAGCCCAGGGAACAGATTCTCATACTCTGTAGGGTCTGCTAGGGATTCAGCTGCCTGCAGGGAAGATTCAGCACATAGTGTCATGTAAAAAAACAAAACATATACAGACATCCAAACTGCAATAAAAATTCTTCCATTCAAGGAGTGTAGTAAAACTCTTAGCATTTTCCCAATCTAGGCTGACACAGATTGTTTTATTACTTCTAATAAACTATAATTTCAACAACAGAACTGACCTTCTGGTTGACCTTAGCCAGGTTCTCCCTCCACAATTTGACCACACGGGACACCTGGCTAGGCAGGTAGGTGCGAGCCAGGAAGGCAGCTTCAGGTAGTCGGTTTGTCCTGATCAGAAGCTCCAAACACTGATCCAGCCTTTGGAGAGATAAAATATGATGAACATTTAACAGCTAGTGTTTATTCATTGTGATCATGATCTATTCCCTCATTTGTTCACCACTGTCACTACCTTTCTGTCCTTAGTACTTACTTCCCCTGCAGGAAGTAGGTCATAAAGGCCACATTGTTCTTCCCGTCCTTCTCTGCTCCTTCAGCCAGCTTGCCCACCATAGTGGCATTACCAGAAGCTGTGGCAAGGAGGAGCAAGCCACCGTAGTCTTGGGCGTGATGAAGGCACTCCTGAGCCAGGCCAAACTGGCACTTACTGATAGCTAACTCTGCTAGCTGCTTCCACTTCTGCTCTGACTGCAGGAGATTGAAAAACAAATTTAAAAAAACAGTGCAAGACAGAGACCCTGACTGCTGATGATTATATGACAATAATGTACAAACACCGGAAAGATTTTGTGAAATCTCTGGGAATGTTTCAGAGGCCAGCTGTGCTCGTACCTCTGCCTCCACTGCCAGCTGGTACGCAATCTTCAGCTCTCCCAACTGCAAGGCCAGCTCAAACCTGTGCTCTGGATCTGTGGACACAGCCAGTGCCTGCTGCTTGAAACCCTGAGAAGCCAGAGAAACAAAACCAATCAGCATACCAAAACTAAGTGTCCATCCCTTCTAAAAAAAAAAAAAAAAGAGAGAAAAACTCTAAATATATCATCATAATAGAATTCCTGTGACAGAGCAAATTAAACTACAGCTTCAAGACAAAGTTGAATTAAACCGACAGACTGCACACAAAAAAAACAAAAAACAAAACAAATAAAGGAAATGAGTGCTACTGTATTTTCTTACCTGTTTTTCCAGAAAATGGGCCACCCTGGTTCTCTGCTCTTTAGGAATTGTGGGCAGCACCTTATCAGCCATTCCAAAGTCTCTCCTCATTACAGCGGTCTGGTACTCCAGGACAGAGACCAGCAAGGAGTAACTGACGATATTCAGCTCCTTGTCTCCCAGGTACAGACGGTCATCTTTGGGTATGTATCCCAGCAGGTACATGGTCCTGCAGGGCGAGAAGGTAATAGGTGTGTGAGAGCCAGCATTCTTCATAGTGTTTAAATTCAAGATAAATCTCTATTTGTTTACCTGTCCAGATGAGCGATAGTGACAATCTCTCCTCCAACATAGTAGTTTAGTCTGTTTACAGAGCTGGTGTAAATGAAGCAGTCTCCTACCCAGAGTCCAGTCTTTACAATCTCCTGAATCTCTCCCTGGACCTGGGCAGAGGCAACAAGGACTAAATAAATAAAGGACTATTTATTTAGGACTATTCCTAAATAAAGCACTAAACTGAAGCTAAGTTGAAGCTACGTTATAGTAGACCACTGAGTATTTTTGGCACAGAGAGTAATGAAAAATACACTACTAAAAAAGGAAAAATGTGCATACATCCACACACACACCTCAAATGCATCTTCAATACCATCCTCTGTCACTCCTTCATTGTTCTCTTGAGAGGCAGCTACTTTATCTGCCAGGTAACGCAGAATGAAGAAGGATTCCTCTGTAGCGATGCAGACCAGCTCACCAGAGTCTGACCAGAAGATCTGACCAAACAATGAAAAATAATAAAAAGGCAAGAGATGAGGATGAGCCTCAGACAAAAAGAGTAAGTAACTCATGAACCCAATAAATCACTGTCATACAAATAGAAGGAAATTTAAAACAAGCCAGTCTTACGTGTTTGGGCTGGATCTCGATGCGACGGATCAACTCTGTGTTCTCCCAGTCATAAAATGCCAAACCATTCACTGACCTCACGCCAAGCAAGAAACCTCCATAGATTCCTGCAGGGAAGAACGAGAACACATCCAGTGAGGAAGACAGTAGAAACAGTCCACTTCCAAACCCTTAAGTCCACTATACATCATCACATTACCTTCTGCTCCAAAGTCAGGTTTAAAAGATTTCTTTTCTTTGAAGTTCTTGAAGATTTTGACAATACTGTTGCTCTCTCTGATGGCATATCTATAATACAAAGAGAGTCCCAGTTAGCTCTCAGCTCTCCAACAGAGAAGGATAGAACAGGGAGGTATCTCACCTATTAAAGCTCTCTTTTCAAATGGCATACTTACTCAGAGGAGTCATGTGCCCAGACAAACTCCTGTGCTGAGCCAAAGCTCTTGTTCCTCAAAGCCATGGCAGTGTAGATGATATATTCTCCATCTCCACACACCACAACAAACCTGGTGCACACAAAACGCACAAATGAGTGACAGTGACATCAATGTTACTGTATATTCACCACTACTGCAGCTACATCTGTGGTGCCAGACTGTATGTGTACCTTCCGTTAGGGTTATGCTGGATGGTTTGGGGATAAATCTCACAGCTGCCCATGTCTTTGACAGCCAGCGGCAGCCTCTCTCCGTCCTTGATCTCAGCATCACCCATGGCCTTCAGGTTAGCCTGCTGTATTTCACTGTGTTTGGCCCAGATGATTTTGCCACTTGTGTCCATAGACATGGCTGGCTCCTCCCGACCCACCTACACAGCAGAGGGAGAGACAGGAGAGAAAGAAGAGAGAGTTTAGTTTCCTTAATCTTCATATGCCACTTTTCATTAATCTTTATAATCAAAATTAATTTTTAAGAATTACCCTTTCTTCCACTCACCTTGATAATGATGCTGCCTTCATCGTAGCCCAGAGCCACATTATTGGAGCCCCTGAGGCCACACACACACCACACTCTCTCCATGCCGTAGTTCAGTGTGCTCTCCAGACGGTACGTGCTTGAGTGCCAGATACGCACCGTTCCTGTAGAGGAAGGTCACACATGTTACACAAAGCTAATGTCAGTGAGGTCAAGTGAGAGGCGCACTATGGAGATGTTTGTGCACAGGGTGGGAAGGAGGTGGGGGTTTCCTGCTCACCATCCTCTGATCCAGTGATGATGATGGGCAGCTCTGGGTGGAAGTTGACACAAGAGACGTTCTGGGCATGGCCCTCCAGAGTCTGAACACAGGTCTTGTTCTACAGCACAACAGAAGAAAACAGTGATTGATATATGACACTGACGTGTAAGCACAATGTTGATGGACACTTACAAAGAGGTTGTGGCACATCACTGAGGAACACAAACATCTTCTTAGAACTATGAACTCTAACATTTTATAGACATAACAAAAAACTATTTTTTGACAGAAAATTTTCCTGCCCTGCTTAAATGTTAAGGAAGTGAATGAGAGAACCAATAGCAAATCATAGAAGTTTTCTAACTTGGTAGTCCCAGATCTTGACTTGACGGTCATCAGCTCCGGAGATAAGGTAGGGCTTGTCTCCTCCACTGTAATAGTCAATACAGTTGACTCCTTTCTCATGACCCTCCAAAGTGAAATTGGGAGACGAAGAGCCTAGCTGCCAAACCTGAAACAACCCAGACATGACAGAAAATGACTGAACGTACTCCACAAACCTTTAATTGTAAGTTAAAAATCAGTACAGTTATTAAAGGCTGCAGTTATACAGTAGGATCTGAGCATTCCACAGTATTCATCCAATGAAAAGAAAATTAGCAGCAGCGCTGACATCATCAAGTGGTCCCTACCTTAATTGTCCTGTCCAGAGAAGCACTTGCAAACTGGTTATTGTCCTTGGGGTTGATGACAATCTGCATGACGTAGTGAGTGTGACCCTCAAACACCTGGCTGCATGTCCACTTCTTCTCCCAGTCCCATAGCTTGATCAACATGTCATCTGCACAAACAAAGAAACACAATCACATGAAGAATTACATATGGCGATTGAATACTGGTATAACAAAATGCAAAGTTCCATATACCACCTATTATGACATCACAAATTGACTAGCGTACCACTACTGGTGAGGATGTAGGGCTGGGTCGGATGAACAGCGATGCAACGGATATAGTCAGAATGGGCCTCAAACATGTGGACCCTCTCCAAGGTGTTGTAGTTGAACACACGGATCTGCATGTCATCCTGTGTATGCCGGAAAAAATGTAAATATTTTCTGACCTCGTAGTGAACTGAGTCAACTAAGAAAAAGCAGATAATATAAAGAGTTAAAGCAGTTGCTAGACATTAGTTGAGTCTAACACAATGAGAAAAGCATACAGCCAAAATGCTAACACTTTTGTGTGACATCACAGTTCAAGATTTTACACACATAACACTTAAGACACATCAAGCTGCTAGTGGTATGATGAGTGACTGGTGTTAAAGTCCATACCTCAACACAAACAGCTGGATGTAACTTACCGCTCCAGTGATGACCCAGTTCTTCCTTGCCACAAACTTAGAAGCTCTGACAGGGAGGTCACATACTTCAAAAGTCTTGACCAGAGTCTGGAGAAGAAGAATGTTACAAACTGGGTTATGGTTTGCAGAATTATCACAGCTATCATGTTTGTCAGTCAAGTCTTTGGCAATGTTGACATATTCAAAACATGAATGCTCAATCATCAGTCTTTCTGTAATGTCTAGTGCAGCCCTGTATGGCGGCCCAGTGAATCGTGATCATGCCTGTGTTTCATGGTTCCACACACAGACGCTGCCGTTGTACAGACTAGCCAGCATCCACGGCTCAGTTGGGTGAAGGTCCACACTCTTCACTCGATCTGACCTAGCTGTCAGCCTCCGCTTAATGTCCAGCCTCAGAGGCTGAAAAGACAAAAGGACATCAGTGTCTTTTCCACAGTGTTCAATCGCTTACGTGGACATTGAATTACTAGATAAATCTCTGTAGCTTCATCGTAAAGATCCAGAATATTAGGACTGTTAGAGACAGCAAAGTAATCGTTAGCATGCTAACACTGGGGCTAATACATGTCAATGATTCTAACGTTACTATAACGTCACATCATAAATTAATTACTTCAGCAAGTGACTCAAAACAACTCTAAATACACAAACCTTACAAAGATTCAAGGATAGACATGTTAAAAGCCGCTAGCTTCATGTTCTCATACTAATTCGTGCTAGTTAGCCACTATGCTATTTACAAGAAAGCATTAACGTTAGCTATTATTTGACATTGTTTCACTGTCTTTCTTGAACAATTCAGCTGATTCAGATGACATATGCGTAAAAAAACTTGCACGAAAGTATTCTCAGTGTCTCTTACCATATTTTATCCCCTTGTTGTCACAATAGAATCAAATGAATATGTTTTGAACAGCTGCAAGCGGGTTCCAAATGTTGCGATTTCAGTGAACAGTGCAGTGGGTACTGACGTGGAACTTCCTGAAAGGCAATCTCGCGTGAGTTGTGCTCTGGAAGTGGTGACGTGTTGGCTAGCTGAGGCTGCTGTCGTTTGAGCCACGGTGACACAAAATCTGCTGTTTGCCATTATCCACAGTTAAGATGCTATTATACCAGTACACTTTCAAATTACTCTATTGCTCTATTTTATTCTTTCTATTTCAAATTCAAATGGCCTAGGCCAGCCAATGTTCATTACAGCCTAGGGAGGGAAGTTTCTTGTGAACATAAAATTAGATGGTTTGTCAATAATATTATTGTAACATAAATGATAGTCTGTAGACCTAATAACATATTGGTTACAGTGGCCATTTACTGCACTGAGCTGCCTACTTTTACACCTGATGCTTTTTTACATACATTTATTTAAGTAACATTTTCAAACATTTTTTAGGTCTAATAGCCTACTTGTAGTAGTGTTTTTACAATGCGGTAGGCCTATTACTACTTTTACTTAAGTAAAGGATCCGAACACTTCTCCACCACTGAACCCAACTGTGTGACATCAAAGCAGAACTTATCTAATTTCACATAGCTGTCATTCATTATTTTACAAAACATCTATGTACACTCTCAAGAGTATAGTCTACTGTCAAACTAAAGAGCATCGCAAATTATTCAAACATTGTTCTTAACCATTGAAGAGTATGCTGCATAGTGAAGAAATTAAAACAAAAACTTTGGGCTTTAAGGATTCAATGTTATCACTCTTAAATCATCCATTTTATATATTGAGTTGTTCTGCTCATATTCAGTTGCTTTTTTGCAGACACAGAAAGTTGCACACTACTTAAATTTGGTATAAACTATTTTGGCTTAATTTTGTGTAGTATGAACAGATGAGGTGCCATTTGTCAAGGTTCCAAGTCAGGAAGCAAGCACATATGAACACATATTATGCAGGTCAGCTAAAGACAGGAAGAGACTGGCAAACAGCTCGCAGGCCCTCAGAAGATAGCTATGGCTTATCTAAAACCAGACCATGTGTTGTAGCTGAAAAGGCCTGGATGGTTTGTTGAGTGGATTATCAAGGGGTGAATATTTTTTGCTTTATGCAGAAGCTCAGGCAGCATACTTGTTGTTGTTGGAATGTTGGCTGGCTTAGCATGCTAGTTAACATGAAGGGTAGACTGCATATAAACATAGACAACAACGCATCACTTTTTGTGACTATGCAAAAGTGAAGCCAAAATATTGTACTAGGTCAGAGAGAGTAAATTTTCTGATATATCTGGTAACTACATGTAGGACTAGTGGAGCTTGATAAGAAGGGATAACAGCTGGACTACTGAACGGGCCACAGCATTCAGATTAAACTCCTCATCAAGCCAGTGGGGCTGGCCATGGCGACTTAGCCCAAGTAGATACAATATAGATGAGAAGCTGCAGCAGTGTATTAACACCTACACTGAGAATAGGAATTAAAAGCAGCTTAAAAGTATGCTAGGTCAATTTAAAGGTACTGTAGGTCAGGGCTAGAAAACAGTGTCTTCTGTCATGAGGCCCAGCATATTTTAAACCTTGCATGTAGCCCAGTAAGAGATCAAAACATCATTTAAGATGTATACTGGGCTACCATAGGAATGCTCACCCATAGTTTGCAACATTTGCTGTATATTGATAATTTTACAATTTTTATTATTTCAAACAAAACATTTTTGACACAGTTTTAGCCATTAAATGTGTTAATGGTTTGCATTAATTGAGAAATTCGCTATTAAATGTCGCACACATGCAGAAGTGGTTCACAGGAAATTACTAATATGTAGCTTTTCAAAGCATGTTTCCAGCCTTCAGTTATTGATAAATGACTGATTTGTAGAGAAAGACTTGTATTATTAAAAAGTTCTTAGCATGACCACTATTAACCACTGGTGTTGCCAACCAGGACTAAAATTGTTAAGGATTACAACTCTAACCACTGGGCACAAAATGTTTCTTATTTCACTTAAAAGTCCATTCTTACAGCATGTGATGAATATTTCAAGTTTTCACATCACATGTTTATTGATCAGTGATTGGCTTGAACATTTGCTATGATTTCACAGTATACATTTCTTAAACTCAAATTTGGCAGCAGTAGATGAATCTAAAAACATCCTTCTAATACCAAACACTGCACATTCATGTATCTGCACAGTCAAGGTCATCTGCTGACTGATGATCAAATTAAGACTGGGTAACTGATTTTCAGACAGACAACAAATTAGGTAGAAACATTTTACTGAAAATAAATTTAGATCTGGCGTCAGACTCTGTTTGGACCCCTCCCAGAGAGCATACATTTTTAAACCAGACAAAGCAAGAACAGGAGGAAATCAATAACCTCCCCCCTGAGGAACCATAAATAAACAGAGCCTACAGGTAGAAGCTGGGGTGGTGGCAGAGTATGAATGCTCAAAAAGCAGCGCATGTTATGGCTGGCGTGTGACCTCCCTTAATGACATAGTGAATACAGCACTGCCTTGTTCTTGGGATTGGCAAAGGTTTCATTATGCAGCAATATGGCTACCTCTAATGTCAAATGTCACAAGAAAAACAAAACATCTTTACTTCAAAAGAAATATTCATCTGTTTGTGGTTTCATAAATAATTTGTTTTATACTTCTTAATTATGATGAAAAAATTGCTATGGGAGGTTGTTCATGACGTGGGAAGCTGATTGCATTGTCAGGAGGCGCACACCAGGAAGGAAGGGAGGAACAAACAGGAGCAGGGTGTATGGCTGAGAACAGATGATGTTTCTGAAGCAAACGTCACACCACTGGCACTTTTTATCAACAAGTGCAAAGCAAGTTTACAGCCCAGTGATTTAACCACTGTTCAAGGTACAATAGGCCTACACACATCTGCGCACGCTGGCTTATGTGTGACTGTGTTTTTGTGAACAAAGCACCATGTAATAGATCCTGGGAACCTCTGATTCCTTGTGCATGTCTAAAAATGTTAGATAGGCAAAACATTTCCATTTCTAATCAGTCTGTTCAATAAAATAAAGATATAGCCTAAACTATATAGACACTGGTTTAACCACTCAGGAAAATACAAATGACATTGTTGACCACTGTTTCATTTATTGATTAATTTATTCATTCAGTGGCACAGTCCCAAAGGAACTGGGAGTGAGATACAGAATTGGCTGCACATGTCATATCTGGTAACCATTCTGCACACTAGGCATCGGTAGCAAAGACATTTACAGCCCAGTCTCAGAGCTTGGGTGTTTTCCAACCACAACAATTACTCAGAGAATTAACTTGTTAAATTACCTTTTGCAACCTGGTTAAAAAGTAGGAAAATTTTGTTTACCCTCATAGACATAAACCTACAATTTATCTGAAATATTTAAAATCACATAAATTCAGAGATACAGGCCCTTTACTGCTCTACTCTCTTGCATCCATCTTGCAGTGTATGTATTGCCACCAGAGGCTACTGTTGCTCCACATCCAGATTCAAACCTTCTTCAAGTTCATGGGAACTTCCCTCTGATAACTAATTTCATGGAGGCTGATTGAAAACATCTGTTGGCATCACTTAAACCAAATAATTTGGCAGATTATTTTTGCTTAGCTTTGATAGCAGTAATCATACACAGGGAAATCTGATAATGCTGAGCTAATGAAAATGGTCATGTGCAAGTAGTTACTCTAAAGTCTTTTCAGATGCTAATGCTTTCATTACAGGCCACAATGGGCCTGCATTATGAATTTCACAGAGGAGATGTATTTAAAAAAGTTACTGAAGTCCTTGTAAAACAAATTAGATGTGCAAAGTCAAGATAATAATATTGCAGAGGCTGATGTTATGTGCTAAATCACTGAAAGTCTCACTTCATGATGAAATGACAAATCATTTTCAGAAACTGGACTTTTCATTTCATATATATATAGAGAGAGAAATTCTATTTTAATCTTGCATTATTTTGCATTAACATTTCAGTTTGATCTAAGGGAAACACCTGAGACTCCACTGTTTTCTCTTGAAACATCATTCTCAGAAGTAGTGGTGAAAACAAACAATATGATTTATTAGGCAATAAATAAGTTATAGATACATACTTTTAACTCTTATTAAACTATATTTCCTGTGTGCATACACCTCACAGGGTATAATATTACTTCTGCTAGAGCTAGAGAGCTAATTCATACTTGAGTCACAAGTAAAAATATATGCACCACACATCCACTGCTGAGAGGCATTTTGAATTTGGATTAAAGTGTCCAAATTGCACATATTAATATGCATGGAAGGAAATGATTTTCTCACCAAGTGAAGCTCATTTCCCTATGTGCACAGCCAAAATACGGTCACAGCTCTCACGTCGGTCTGTTTTGTAATCTGATACCAGTTCCCACCAAGTGTTTCTTTGTGCCATTTTGGTTCCTCCTCCCCTTCTGGCATTAAAAAAAAAACCTTCGTTAATGTACCAAATAATAAGAAAGATTCATCAAGGCATTTAAAAAAATTCAGATTTGTTAAAGCCCCATCTCTAAAGCAGAGGTTAAGTGGCTTGTTTGCCAAATTGCTGTGAATCCGTTGCTTCTCACAGTGCGATAGAGTGTCAGTCCAAAAGTATCTGCACTGCTACTTGCTTTTAAAACCGACACAGGATTTTTGAACACTGTATTAAACTGTTCCTGTATGCTGTAAGTCTATGTACAGCGTGTATCTATGTTATGTGTGCTCCATGTCGATGCTGACCTTCTACACAACGACAGCCGGCCTGCAGCACCCAGGCATACATGTCCACCCTGGACTGTGACATCAGCTGATCACCCATCAAATAGGTGTTATATGAGGAGGTGATGAAGTAGTTGCACAGCAGCTGGTTCATGTCCTGGTTCACGATGTAGTGTGGACCGCTGCTGGGCTGCACATGTAATTCTAAAACCTGGGAGAAAATTAAACAATAGCTTTTTTACTGCAGGGCTTATCCTACTTTAAAAAAAATGTTTATTCTTCAATCTATTCTGAAGTGTAGCTTGGCAAGTGGCCCGGTGTTCACCAGATCAAATGTGTTTTATTGATGACCCTAATGTTTAGAAAAATGTGTGACATCAACTA